TTTTTTTTTTTTTTTTTTAAATAAAAGTAACAGACGTCGCAATGTCATTTGCCGGCAATTCACGTCGCAAATATTTCTGGAATGATAAACTCGACGGGATTAGAATTTAATTATTTCTACTCGCACGCGCCATTGCGCGTCGCAGAACGCTCCAAAATGGAAGCAACGATTAATTCCACGACGGTCCGCGATAATTCTTTCGTACGTGCGTCGGTCGCGGGATACGCGCGCCCCCCGTCCAAGATTCATTGCTCAATTAAAGATTTAGCACGCGGTGGTCGGACCCGCGCTCGTCCACAAGCGGTCGCGGTCATATAAACGCATTAACTCCCTCAATATTTTTTCTCCTCTTCCCCGAGACGCGAAAAGTTAAATTGTTAATGTAAATGCATCGCTTCTCGTTCGCTAACGCGATTAAATTGTGTTGAATATCGAAAAACGCGAAGGCGACAAAAAACGAACGAAATTACGTTGTCGAAAGAGGAACAAATTCATCTCACACCAAGACAGTAACACGATTTTTTTTTTTTTTTGACTCGAGTGAATTCAAGAATAACGAGCTTCTTCTCATTCCGATGTTTCACGTAATATTGATCGGACAATCAAATCATAAATGTGGATTGGTCCTTCTATTATACTATATTTAGTTATTGATATATTTACAGGATATGGAGAACCGCATCGCGTCGAAATCAATAGAGTTTATGTATTTAAATTGACACAATCGTTGTTGTGTCCGCGCGCCAATCCAGACTGCCAGTCTCCCGATCGAATCGTGTGTATGTATGCGCGCGCGCGCATGTGTATGTGAATAATTAATTACATAATTAATCTGTCTGATCAAAGAACAGCGCGGAGTCTGTATAACTGCGCATAACGGTGTCCGATTCTCTACGGTAATTTGTACACGCGAGTTATCCCTCGCGCGATACCGCAAACCTCGTATAAGCTTCGTTAAACTAAACTCACGTACGAACAACATAACTTCCACACGTTTTCTCGATACATCCAAACATATAGACGAGTTGTTTGTAGCCGAAACCTCGTCGAGATTGCGAAGCCGTTCGTCGATCCGCCCGAGAAGAGAGAACGAAACGAGAACGTAACACGCCGGGCTACCAACACCGGCGATCATTTGTCGGCTATATCGCGATAGCGCACGTTTAGCATAGAAATCGCGTCTACGCGTACGGCGTACCGAAAGTCTCTCTCGCCGACAACGGAAACATCGCAATATGAGACCGCAGAAAAGCACAGCACGGGAAAACGTGCACAGAAGTTTTTGCGCGGCGCATATTTCGACAGCTCGCTCTATACAAAAAATAAATAAATAAAAAAAAAAAGGTGAGTAAAGTACGTATTTTTGTAATTAAACGTGTACGCCGTGTGTATGTGTCGTTATAGTTGAAAACAATATTTACAAACTTGATAAATTACGGAAGCGAATCGGGTAATAAAACGTTATTCCGCGATCGATGAAAATAAATAAAACGTTGGATACGTCGAGAAATGGTTGATTTTACGCAATTGTTTACTTTTTTAATTCCGCGATGTTTCCGCCGCGAGCGTTATTTTTTTTAACCGAAAAGAGCAAATGTAGTAATAAAACAATATCCGATTTGTTGCGGAAATCGACGTATTTCTCGTGTCACAACGAGGAAAAACTCACCACCGCGAAGGATAACGTCGCCGTCGTGAATCACACGTCTGACGCTTTAACCGTCAGTTTTAAAGCCGTAAACGTGACAGTAAAGTGCTCTCTTTGTACTCTCTCGGCGAGGTATGCGAACCAAATACGCAAAACGCGAACTGGGTCGTAACCCGTCGTACTCTCGAGCCGATTACAATGCACGCGAGAGCACATGACGAAAGAACCTGAATCGAATTAATTCTAATCGTCTTCGTGTCGGACAATAATGAGCACAGCACGAGGCGAATGTTCGACGCAGATATTCAAACACGAAACATAAAAAAAGCAATTAATCTCACGAGATAATATCTAATTTATTTTTTTTTTAGGTTTTATTTTGCTCTTGGAATTTCCTCAATATTCTTCGAAACCGCAAACGTCGCATCTCTCACGACCAATAGTTTGAGTCATCGCCGATACTCAACACCACGTCGTCGTGGAAACCGTCCAGCGGTTTCTGCGTATGTACGTGCTTGTTTACAGGAAGAGCGAATACGTGGTACGAACATACAATTTACGATCTCGGCAGAAGGACGTGCGCGCTAATTGGATCGGTCAATCCGCGAGAGACGGGAGTTAGTGTTTTCTTGCCGCGGCAGAACGCACTTGCATTATGCACTGCGAAGGAAGATCGAGGGTGGTAAACGGAGGGGGGGTTGTAATAACAACGTCGGGGGAAAACGCAAATGAAAATTAAAGCGACGCCGCCGGTATATATCTAGATGTCGCGTGTTGCATACGCACGCGACGAAAAAACGGGACGACGGAATCGATACTCCCCGCTCTCTTTTTCTCTCTCCCTCTTCTTTCACCCTCCTCATCCAGAAGATACACCGAGGGCACGCGACGTTAATAACTTACCGCAACGATTCCGCGGCAAAAAGGGCGCTCCTTCGATTCCGCGGCCGACTTTTATCTCTTTGTCCTTCATCCACGGCGTGTCGGGAATAACTCGAGCGCGGAATGGTGTCCTCAAAAATATCCTCCCGAGCGTACAAGAGACAGAGACAGGTAGGTAGGCAGGTACACAGATGGATAGATAGATCTGTCGGCGCGAGAAAACCGTCACGTGCAATTTGAAATTATCTTCCGCGGTGTGAAATATCATATCGATATTGCAAACATCATTTCTCCGACAGTTGTGGAAATTACTTAAAAAAAAAAAAAAAACAACACGACACTATTTGAGAGAGCGTTTTAATAAAAACGTCCGTTAATGATGATTGTCGTTCAAAAAATTTGCTTCCCTTTTTTCTTTCTTTCTTTTTTTTTTTTTACCTCGTCTGCGTCCATCGATCCACGATGGGTGCGTGACCGAGCTTCTCGTGACGCGCGAGAGCCGAAAGGTCTCCTCGCGCGTCACCCTCCCGAAGACAAAGGGAGGTTGGGCTCGATCGCCGACCACGACGCGACTCGCGTCGCGCGACGAGAAATCCAATGACGAAATGACAGAGCGCGGTATAGAGTCGACGTGCGTGCACGCACTACGCGCTCGTGTACACGTACAGAGAAAGGACGAGCGCGCGAGAAAGGAAAGGGGAGGAGAGGAAAAAACAACGGACACAGGACGAAGGGTTGGAAAAAAAGGGGCGCCGCGGAGTCTCCCGGCGTATAGCGTGAGGCGCCTGGAAGTCCACT